TGGTCTCTTTCTTAAAACTTCCCAATCAATAAAGTCAAACATTAATGCATTAGATTACATAACAATATTTCTCCCAGCTTTCATCTAAATGTGTGATTTAAATTCATTTGTTCATGTTAGTTTGCAGTTCATTAATGTTAACAACATTGTGATTTTAAAAGAATTGGTAATGTTTGAATTGACTTTAATATTAATAAATGATGTAGAAGTATTGTTCATTGTTAGTTCTTAACAAACGAGATCTAATAGTAAAGTGAAGTCTTAATGTGGCTAACCTATGTTACTCTATTAACTTTTGGCCCTTTAGCAGTTAAAGACAAAACTGCGCGCATTTTGGCGGAATAACATGGTTTAGGATGTGCTTCGGCTCTGCGTGACTGTGCGGATGAATATGGTCGTCTTACTGCTGCTCATTAAACATTCACAAGGCACTTATAACCAGTTTAGATGAAAGGATCTCAAGCTGACGAGCTGAAGACGTTACTGTAGCGTTAACCATTAATACACACACGGCACTTCCTTGAAATAAATTCCAGCACAGCGCTACAACAACCATAATGAACTGATCTTCACAATAGATAACGCTTTACAATGAACTCCGTTAGAGAGCTACATGACAGTTTATCTGTTTAAATACCTTACTCACTTGTTGAGGAATAAGAAACACCATCTCAGATCCCTCAGTTCTCCATCTCTGAAAAGCCAAGTCGATGTTTATTATTGTTTTATGACGATCTCGGTCTCGTCCTCTTTTCTCCAGCAGACTCTCTGTTCATCGTGTGTTTAAAACGGGTGATTCTCCGGAGTTTGGAGATTTAGCGGCTCATGTCGACCTTTCTCTCTCTCACACACACACACACACACACACTCAACTAACCTCTCCCACTCACACACCAGACCAGACACACACACACACTCAACTAACCTCTCCCACTCTCACACACACACACACTCACTCACTCAAACAAACAGGCGCACACATCTTTGTGGGGACTCTCATAGGCGTAATGGTTTTTGTACTGTACAAACTGGTATATCTTTATATTCTGTCCCCTTCTGCCCCTATCCCTAAACCTACCCATCACACACAACTTTCTGCATTTTTACATTTTCAAAAATACATTACTTAGTATGATTTATTGCTGTTTTCCCTCATGGAAAAACACCGCTGGCTGGTCCCCACAATGTAGGTGATTTTCAGGTTTTACTATACTTGTGGGGACATTTGGTCCCCACAATGTAATATAAAACATGAACAACTAACCTCTCCCACTCACAACCAGACACACACACACTCAACTAACCTCTCCCACTCACACACCAGACACACACACACTCAACTAACCTCTCCCACTCACACAACCAGACACACACTCAACTAACCTCTCCCACTCACACACCAGACACACACACACTCAACTAACCTCTCCACTCACACACCAGACACACACTCAAACTAACCTCTCCCACTGACACACCAGACACACACACACTCAACTAACCTCTCCCACTCACACACGCACTCAACTAACCTCTCCCACTCACACACCAGACAGACACACACACACTCTCTCAACTAACCTCTCCCACTCACACACCAGACAAGACACACACACACACACACACTCTCTCTCTCGACTAACCTCTCCCACTCACACACCAGACAAGGACACACACACACTCTCTCTCGACTAACCTCTCCCACTCACACAGCAGACAGGACACACACACACTCAACTAACCTCTCCCACTCACACAGCAGACAGACACACACACACACACACACACACACACACCACACACTCTCAACTAACCTCTCCCACACCAGACACACACACAATTTCCCGCAAAAAAAACATCCCAACAGGTCTAAAATTTAAACACTTATAATAGGCTTACTATAGTGAATCAGGGGAAGACAAAGAGTGATTGATGATGTATGGGACTCATTTAAAATGTTATTTTGAACAAAAATAAAAAGTTACATTTGTGTAACTTTTATATAAGATAAGATATTAAAAACATACAGGGGTTATGGGAGTGACTTGTTTATTTGTAATTATTTGAGAAATGAACCAGCCTTTTCAGAGTAAAAAATAGTTTTAAAGTAAACCCTGCATGACATATCTTTGAGAGCAAAACTTGAGCAAAATAATAAATGTAAAAGAAAAGTACAGTAGTGACAGTCTTCATCTTGCCATGTGTGAAACTTGCATGAAACAAAACACACACACAAGAGTTTTACTGTTACGGCTTTCATTTATTAACACTTTAGAAACTTCAACATTGGACACATTTAGTCTTTATAGTAACACCAGCACCAAAACACCAGAACGATGTATGATGAAGACTTCAGGAGCTTCAGAAGAGGTTTCACAGTTTGATCTGAGAAAAGGCCAGTGCAGAATCATGTGCCAAAACCGGATGTAGAAAGATTTTACAAAAGTCTGTCCCAGAGTACAAGAGCCAGTCAAAAACGGCTCTCTTCGTGCGGTCCGAACACATCTCACAAACACCCATAACCATGATGCGTTCTCGTCATGTCAGGACTACTAATGCCAAAAAAGAGAGAAATAAATCAAGAAGAAAAATGTGAAGAGAAATTCCATAAACTTCCAGATAAAAAAAATAATAATAAAAAAAAAATAATTGGTTTGTACTAGTCCGAAACTAAGCTATGGATATTCCGACATGACGTGAACACACCAGAAGAATAAGCAGGCGTTTATCGACCCCAGACTGCGACATAGTGTCGCCCAGATCCGGCCCACATCCGGGCCGTGTGGAATCCACGTGTGCCGGATCTGGGCCGACATTCATGTTGCAGTCTGGTGAAAATATGACAAAAACAAAAGCTTTAGCCGTTGAGCAAAACACTTAAATATGCGAGATAGCTGCGATCCAGACCTCCGGGTTTAGCACTCGAAAAAACATCGGAGTTTCCACCCAGCGGATCGCAGCGATTCCTGAATCCAACAGATCAGCGCTTCGACTGAACAGCGACTGTTGAGAGCGCATTCACAGTGTCACAACACCAGCGAGGGTCCTGAAGAACACCATCTCCATGATCCTCCGAGACTCGCTCGTGTCTCTGAATATAGTAATAAGAGACCTCACCAAACGTGCCAAAAACAGTCATATTTCACTCAAAGATTTAAAAAAAAAGTTTTCATGACAATTAAGCACATTATCCCCCAAATTCAATTGACTATAATGCAATAGATTTATACATTATATTATTTAATTTAAATCTATCAAATTATATATATATATATATATTATTTAATAATAAAAAAATATATATATATATATATATATACTTTTCTATATATATATATTTAAATTAAATAATATATATATATATATAATATATTTTTTTTTAATTTAATTTAAATCTTTCAAATTATATATAATTTAATAGATTTAAAGTGAATAATATAATGTATAAATCTATTGCATTATAATTTAAATCTATCAAATTATATATATATATATATTTTTTTTATATATTTAAATCTATCAAATTATATATATATATATATATATATATATATATATTTATTTATTTAATTTAAATCTATCAAATTATATATACTTTGATAGATTTAAATTAAATAATATATATATATATATATATATATATATATATATATATATATATATAATATATATATATATAGAGAGAGAGAGAGAGAGAGAGAGAGAGAGAGAGAGAGAGAGAGAGAGAGAGAGAGAGAGAGAGAGGATGAGAGAGAGAGAGAGAGAGAGAGAGAGAGAGAGATAGAGGAGAGAGAGAGAGAGGAGAGAGAGAGAGAGAGAGAGAGAGAGAGAGAGAGAGAGAGAGAGAGAGAGAGAGAGAGATTAAAACTATTAAAGTAATTTAAATAAAAATAATAAAAAATAAAGACGAAAGGACAAAATAAAAGACGAAAGACAAAAAGGACGAATGACGAAGACCAGGAATTGAGAAAAAAGTGCCAGTTTCATGACAATTAAACACGATCTGCCCCAAATTCAGTTGACTATAATGCAATACATTTATATATTATTTAATTAATTTAAATCTATCAAATATTATATATATATATAAAAAAAATAAAAAAAATAAAGACAACGAAAAGGACAATTGACGATGACCAGAAATCATATATATTAAAAAAAAGAAGAAAAAAGACAGTAGTAATGAGATATCACAATGCAAAAAAACGTATTGGTCCTAAAAATAGTATAGGCTTCAGTTTCTTTATGCATTTTTTCTTATGATTTTGGGGTGAAATATGACCCGTTTTTGTCAGATTCATCACAACAGACAGTGGATATCGTTCTGTCGTCAAAGTCACAGCCAGCAGGGATCCATTCGGCCCATCCTCGCTTACCGCTTCTCCATCAAATATCCATTTAAAACTGAGCTGAATTTGAGGAACACCTTTCAGGCGGTGAAAAACACCTGCTTGTGTCCGCCATCTTCCCATCAGCCCCTCGGCGACGATTTCTCCGGTGTGATGATGGCATATCAAACAGAAGTGGTTCTTCCAGTTAGAAAAGTGCCGGATAAAAAAAAAAGCTTGAAGCTGCACTTTCAAATCCCGCTGAAAGAGCAGAAACACGGACGGCGAGGGCGTAGAAAACCACCAGCGCTTGTAGAAAACAAACTAGCTGTACGTCTGAAGGAAGTTGAGATGCAAAAATAGATCTGATACAGAAAGTCGCAAGAATAAAGCAAACTAATTCACTACAGATGATATGAATCAAGTGTGTGTGTGTGTGCGCATGTGTGTGTGTGTTTGCACGGGAAACTCATCACAATTCATCTGCTTTCAGTGGAATATATTTACATAATACTGACGCTGCAGCTGTGGCGAATGAGCACTCGATACTGCGACACACACACACACGCTTCGCTGATCGCAATCGGTTAGAAAACAGTAAACATTGCATGGTCGTACTGGTAAACGATGGTGTTTGGAGCACGGGACGATCAGGTGTGTGTCGGTGACGAGGCTCACACGTCCCTGATGTCCTCCAGCGTGGGGCTTCGGTACAGGTACTTCCAGATGGCGTAGTAGTGGATGGCGGCCGCCAGCGCCACGAACACGTGCCAGATGGCGTGAGCGAAGGGAATCACGCCGTCGGATTTGAAGAAGACGACGCCCAGGCAGTAGACGAAGCCCCCGAACGCCAGCTCGTACAGCCCGTCGGTGTTACTCTGATCAAAACAAGAACAACACAAATCAAGATGGGTTTTTAAGTGTATTTAAAGCCCACTATATTTCACCACAGAAGGCTAAAAGGCATTTAACTGTAATGAAACGGTTCTGTGGTTTAGCACTTCAATGGGTTTTTGGTTAAATGCCTGAAATAAGGTGTGCGGTGAACTGTGACATAGGACATTTAGCTCTTACTAAAAGTTTGTTGTTAATCTCCAAATTCTTAGGCACCAAATAAATCTCCCTGCATGCAAAGCCCCTTGACCACAAGGTGGCGCCAGAGTGTGTGACGCGGGACACGTGCCGATTAGCAGTCACGTCTTTATATGAAAATGAACAGTTCTGCTGTCTATGACTCTATAATATAACCTTTGTTATAGTTCACTAGGGTTTGAATTACTCGTATCACACACACACACACACTAGCGGAAAAAAAAAACACGTTTGCTTCCTAATCGAGTTGTCTAATAACCTGGCATTGTACATTACGAATATTGTTGGATCTTTTGTAAGTTGCTCTGGATAAATGTTTACAGAACAGCTGTATAATGTACACAGGTGCTGTATTTATACTTTATACGAAAGAGACACACAACCAGTCAAACCATGTCTGGATTGTTATATCAGTTATTAAGAAAATTAAGTGTATATTAAGACTTTTTTGTTGCACTGTTTACATGACAATTAAGCATTTCATGACCTCCTCATGTAATGTAAAACAATAGGAAAAAAACAAATTCTAAACAGTAAAGAAAAATATATATACACTACCGTTCAAAAGTTTGGGGTCAGTGAGAATTTTATTTTTATTTTTTGGAGGAAAGAAATCAATACTTTTATTAATCAAGGAATAATTAATTTGATCGAAAGTGACAGTAAAGACATTTATAATGTTACAAAAGTCTTTTGAACTTCCTATTCATCAAAGAATCCAAAAAAAAAAAAAAAAAAACGTACAACTGACAGACCAACAACTGTTTCAACATTGATAATAATAATAAATGTTTCTTGAGCATCAAATCCTCATATTATACTGATTTGTGAAGGATCATTTGACACTGAAGACACTGACACTGGTGATGCTGAAAATTCAGCTTTGATCACAGGAATAACTTTACTATATATTCACACAGAAAACAGCTGATTTACACTGGAATAATATTTAATACTATAACTGATTTTTGTTGTATTTTTAATCAAATAAGCGCAGCCATGGTTAGCAGAAGAGAATTCTTTTAAAAGTATTTAAAATCGTACCGACCCCAAACTTTTGAACGGTAGTGTATATATATATTTTATTATCACAGAAGTATTGAGTGTAGCTCCGTTCATTTATGCTGATTAAATTATACAGCAAGTAATACAGTAAAACATCATGGTTACTATCCCATCATGCCAAGGTGAAATGACGCAACTGACGCTGGAAGGTCACATGATCATGCCAACATGGCGAATGTAGCACATACTATACAGAATGCGCTTTGTTTTTTTAAAGCGGTCGTGAAGTAATTACTTATTTAAATAAAGCGATTTCAGACGCAGCCGCTATCTTAATGAGCTCAACAGGAAATGACCTCACACACTCACCATCGATGTCACCACCAGCGCAGGAAAGAAGCCCATGGTCAAGTAAAACGCCAACTCCACTAACTTATACCTGCACAAAACACACACACACGTTATCATCAGACACGCATTCAAGAACATGAACAAATCATAAAAAACACATAAGAACATTAAACATCTCTCTATTGTCAATTGCTTTAATTGTCTAGTTTGTGCATGTTACATTATCAATCTTGTCACGCTTAATACACCTTATTTATTTGCAATAAACCCGCACTCAAACAAATATCCAGGCCTATATTTAACTCTATATTTAAATTGCATACACAATTAAACAATTTAACAATTTAAACACAGTTAAATTTTTTTGGAGTGTGGAAATATAAATAAATACGGTGTAAAATTTCCTTGACGGATCTATAAACCAAAATGGCACTTTTGAGAATATTCAACTATTTTATTTAAAATGCTGTGATCTCAAATAATCATAACCGAGTTCTGCATTCAACAAAATATAATTGAACATGTCAATTATTACCCTAGCCCATAATTAAGACACGATGTCAGATGCAGTCTGAGACATGAAGTTGAAGTCAAACGTACTTTTCGTGGTAGTTAAACACATAGATGGTCCCGGCGGCCGCCATCAACCACACAAACCAGCGCATGTGAGCAGCGAGCGGCCCGAGCTCACGCAGATTCAGCCTGCAGGAACACACACACACACACACATTAGTGCTGCGCTCATTACACAGGAATGTCATTCAGTGGCATGGTGAGATATATCAAAACTCAAGTGGCATATTGTTATAAATTAGCAATATAAAAACACTTCAATGGGAATAAACACATAATAATGATAATAAAAAATAAATTAACGAACTAACAATACTTCTACAGTGTTTATTAATCATAATGTTGATTTATGAATCATAACGTTAACTAACGAGCCGTTATTGTAAAGCAGTGCGAACTCTTCTTGCAGGTAATATAGATAACGAACCTGACGGTATTTAATATTGCAGGTACTTTAATATACAAGCATTCGGTTACACGTGTCATTGTTTCAGTGTAATTATACATGCAAGCACTGAATAATATTAATTAGGGTAAGGGTTTGTTTTAGTTGCATGTAATCATGCATAATTTACTGTTATTACTACAGTAAGTGCATGTAAGATATGTAAAAAGGACGTTGTAAAACAAAGTGTAAAGAAGCATTCATATATTGATGCTCGGTTACTGATGTGTGTGAATTTTGAACATGGCTTATTAAATTATTTTTTTGTGTTCATTTTATAATTTTAAATCACTGATAATGCTTTTTAAAAAATTATTATAATGCATGTAAACACAATGACTTCACTTCTGCAAGCACAAGATGTTAGATGGGAGATACTGTTAAGAAATGAGGAAATGCATCGATTTTGGATCAAAAGTCACAGCAAAGACATTAATAATGTTTCAAAATTTTTCTATTTTAAATAAACTTTCTATTCATCAAAGAATCCTGAAAAAAAAAATGAATGAATGTTTTCAACATTGATAATAATCAGAAATGTTTCTTGAGCATCAGATCATCATATTCTAGTGATTTCTGGAGGATCATGTGACTCTGAAGACTGGAGTAATGATGCTGGAAATACAGCTTTGATCACAGGAATAAATTACATTTGAACATATATTCACATAGAAAACACATTATTAATCATCACTGTATTTTTGATCAAATCAATGCAGCCTTGTTGAGAATAAGAGATTTCTTCCAGACACATAGAACTAAAAATTATATATAAATATATATTTTTTTAAATGTAGCTGTGATTTTAAATAATGATATCAGTAAATATGTCTAAACAAAGGCGTACCATGGTGTGTACGAGGCAGCGATGAAGAAGTAAATGACGACTCGATCACACATGTGGAAGCAGTGCTCCATGCTCCTGAAAGAGAAAACACACAGCAAACTGTAGAAGACACAACGTACACTCACAGAGTCTGTGTCCCAGCAGAATGCAAACTTTAAAAAGTTAAATGGTTTGCAATGATGAGATGTTACTCTTGTACTCCATTAAAGGGGTCATATAATGCCATTTTTGTACAAGCTAATATGATTCTTTAGAGTCTAAATTAAAAGTTTGTAATATACTTTAATTAAAAATTCTCATTAGTATTGTAAGAAAACACTTATTTTACCTGGTCAAAAACAGCTCTGTTTTCAGCACGCCGTTTCAGTGTATATGACTTTAAATGATCATGAGCTTTGCTGACTCCGCCTCTCTGTTCTGTGCGTACACCGTTTGAAACTCAATAACACAATAACCATAACACGTTGTTCAGTTTAAACGTGGAATTATGAATTATATTGAGAACGTCATACATAGAAAACATGCCGTAATGTACCCGGAGTATAAACCTTAGACGCATTGATTGTGAAGCGTGCAGCTAGCGATTTGCAAAGATTAATATACTAATATAAAGTTTAATAAAACGTTTCACTCACTTCCGTTCTTCTGGAGATTCAGCAGGAACACGAATATCTGGTACCGATCCTTTTTAGCAAAGCTTCTTAGCAAATTCAGCTTTATACTGACCCTCGTTTATAAAGCAGTCTGGTGAGAAATGATTCGCGCAAACATGAGAGCAGTGACGTTGCTCGTGGGGAATATTCCCTTCGAAAACAAACTCAGCCACTGCGTCTTCAGCGGTTCGGATTTAGGAACATTAAAATGACTGCTGTGTTCGTTATTACACCCAAGAACAGAACACCACAATCGCTTAGACGCCATTCTGCTCATAGACAGCTCCAGCATATCAACAATGACCGCGCCGGTCCGCGCAGACTATGATTGACAGCTCCCTCATGTGCGAGGGCGGGTCTGTGTTGAAACGCTCCCGTCAATCAACAGTCGCGGGAGGGGCGTCCGTTTTATTGACGTCACAAAAACGAAGGGCTCAATTTGAGGCAGGGGAAAACATATAAGGAGATTAAAACAAAACCACTGGATGGATTTTTATCATTATATGATGTTTGTGTACAGGCACTGCCAACACACATTTCAGTACAATCAACTTGTAAAAGTGCATGTACCATTATATGACCCCTTTAACACATTTAAAGGGTTAAATCACCCAAAAATGAAAATTATGTCATTAATGACTCAAGTCGTTCCAAACCCGTAAGACCTCCGTTCATCTTCGGGACACAGTTTAAGATATTTCAGATTTAGTCCGAGAGCTTTCTGTCCCTCCATTGAAAATGTATGTACGGTATACTGTCCTTGTCCAGAAAGGAAATAAAGACATCATCAAAGTAGTCCATGTGACATCAGTGGGTTAGTTAGAGTGTTTTGACGCATCGAAAATACATTTTGGTCCAAAAATAACAAAAACTACGACTTTATTCAGCATTGTATTGTCTTCCGGTTCTGTTGTGGATCCGCGTTCAGTGCCGCCGCTGACGTAAGACGCTGGTGACGTGTGTCTGGTGCGTCCGTGTATTCGGGTTCAAATAAATATGGCTGGGCAAAAAATGCAAGTCTTCCTCTGTGTCGAAATCCTTAGACATGTTTGCGAAGATGGTTTTGTTTCCAGCGTGCGTCTCCCTCAGACTGTAAACGAAGCTCGGGCGCACCAGACACACGTCAGCAGCGTCTTACGTCAGCGGCGTCACTGAACGCGGATCCACAACAGAACCGGAAGAGAGTACAATGCTGAATAAAGTCCTAGTTTTTGTTATTTTTGGACCAAAATGTATTTTCGATGCTTCAAAACACTCTAACTAACCCACTGATGTCACATGGACTACTTTGATGATGTCTTTATTTCCTTTCTGGACAGTATACCGTACATACATTTACAATGAGGGACAGAAAGCTCTCAGACTAAATCTGAAATATCTTAAACTGTGTCCCGAAGATGAACGGAGGTCTTACGGGTTTGGAACGACATGAGGGCGAGTCATTAATGACATAATTTTCATTTTTGGGTGAACTAACCCTTTAACGTGTTCGCTCCTGCATTTAAACGACTCCCAAAACCCTTCAGGCAAACCTCATGTGGCTCTTTTTCCAGGAGATGATGTGAAAGACGGTGGAGACGAGGAAGAGTGCGATCAGACCCATGCCGTAGACCCAGGCCGTGATCCGCTCCCAGCGGTCGTCCGACAGCCGGTGTAACAGGGCCATTCCCACGAACGCCGGCACGATCAGGAACTGCGGAGGGTTGAAGACGGACAATAGCATTTAACTCTTTCCCCGCCAGCGTTCTTTAAAACAAGAGCTGCCAACGCCAGCATTTCTGATAATTCGGACAACTTTCAAGAGCCACAGAATATTCTGTTGTGAGAAAATCTGAACATGCAATCCCAGCCAGCACAGCCATGTGGGGCCCACATGGGTTTGACGTGGGCTATCTAACTGGGACCCAGCCAGTTTTGTTCCCGGTTTCCATGTAGGCCCCACATGGGTTTGCCCAGATGAAATGAACACTGCTCAGTGTGCACACTACAGGCTGTTAAATGTAACACTGATCAGTTTGAGTTAATGAGATAATTAAGTGATTGAATAATGATTGAGCATTATTGATGAACACCTGATGTTAACAAGCAGAATCACTGAAGGAGAAAATCACAAATTGTAAGCCACCGTTATGTCGATCAGTGTTTGCTTTAGTTGGACTCTGACCCTTAGACTTTCACTTTAAATTTTGTTTGACTGCTGTTATTGATTTATTACAGTCAAATGAACAAAGAAAAGTGTGATCTGATAGTGTTGGTTGTGTTTTGGCAAAATCATGCAGTGATCTGATAAATGAAACTTATTGAGATTATCTGGTTTAACTTGTTAACCAACAGCTTTATGATTCCACAGCATATGATTATCAGTATTTTTAATCCAAAATATTTCATAAACATTGTTCTGATCAAAACACTTTCAAATGAATTTATTTAGAAACACAGACATCAATAATCAGCTTGTGAATCTCAAGAATGGTGACAATAATAATGCATGTTGCAGTGGCTCCCACCAATCACAACTCATTAATGTCTCCCATCATGCATTGCGGTATGAATAAATTATGATCTGAATTGTCTATGTAATTTACTTTTCCTAATTGAATATTCTGCTCGTCACCATTGTTGAGATGCATTGACTGAATCTTGACGTCTGGGTGTACCTAAAAGAAAGTTTTTTTTTTTTAAACAACTTTTAAGAAATCCTTTATATTATATCTAAAATTCTGGATATTTATGCAGAATCACAGTTATGCTGTAACCAACAGCATAAATCACTAAACATAAGGTTCAAATGATGACTGTCATAATATAACCAACACCATTACATCACTTTTTTTTTTTTTTTTGTTCATCTGGCAGTTATAAGTCAGAAACAACAGCCAAACAAAATTTAAAGTTAATAATATAAGGGTCAAGAGCCCAACTAAAGCAAACAACGACCGCCATAACGGTGACTTACAATTTTCTCCTTCAGTGATTCTGCTTTAGGTGTCTTCAATAATGCTCAATCATATTCAATCACTTAATTATCTCATTAACTCCAACACTGATCAGTGTTACATTTAACAGCCTGTAGTGTGCACACTGAGCAGTGTTCATTTCATCTGGGCAAACCCATGTGGGGCCTACATGGAAACCGGGAGCAAAACTGGCTGGGTCCCAGTTATGGCTGTGGCTGTGCTGGCTGGTATACATCAATGAAAGAACAGACCCTCTGCTTCTAAACTAACACATTTTATTCTAGCTTTATGCATTATTTTATCAACACTTGAATGTGGGTAGGTTTAATAAAAAATAAAAAAGCAACATTTTAAAACAAAAAGCTGAGAAAAATCAAGTTGTCGTCAAAAACTACATCTGGATGGTCTTAAAACATTACATTATATATATATATATATATATATATATATGTAAGGGTTACTGCCCGGCGAGGTGTCCATTGTCAGGTATTAATGGACGACAACGAGGCGAAGTCCATTAATAATACCTGACAATGAACTCGAAGGGCATTAATCCACTTATACCATGGTCACTTGCCAAAAAACACATTTTTAAAACATTAGTTTATATTTTAATTAGTTTTACAATCGAAATCTAGTTTTTACAAAGTTTTTACAAACAATAACTTGGTTTCCCTGGTTACGCCTGACGGTTTATTTAGCAACTAGATGTTTGTTTTGATACAATAAATTGTAAACGGATACTTTGACTGCCTGTTGCTATGGTTACTCACAGCTGATGTAGCCAGCGCATTTATTTATTAATTTCGAATGGTAAACAGTCAGTTTCACTAGAACTCCTTTACTAGGTGTCCTCTATCACTTTTTAATGGACACCCTGCAGCCAATCAGAATCGAGTATTCACCCAGACCATGGTATAAATATATATATGCGCCTCATTAGCGGCTGCTATTCGTAAGCCGTCCGCCATATTGGAAAGGTCAAAGTGAACATACGAGAGCAAGTTGACTGAGCGTCTGCAACCGCAATTGGACGCATGTATGAATAGCTATCTATGTGCAATAGACTTCAGCCGGTGATTTCGCTAAACTAACACAATACAACAAGACGAAGGTGTCAGCTGACACGATGGTACAACCATAGTAAAGGTAAAAACATTGAAAAGTAGTGTACCATAGTAAAAACCTGACCTAATATTGAGTTAATACATATTAAAACACAAGCCAACACATTATCACCTGTGAAAGATTATATCCCATTTGTTCTGGAATTTAAATCTCGGCGGTTTCACAACCAGAAGCTGCGCGATACTGTGGCGTCATTGATTTTTACACGTGCAAAAGCAATGCTTCTATCACTTGTTTTTGCTTCTTCTTTGCCTGCGTTTTGATCCGGAGTACTCTTTCAGAAAATGCATAATAGCGTCCCCTACGGTATAACAGTGAAAACACAGAAAGCCGGAAGATTCTGTCAATGGCGGGGAACCGCAGTGTCATAAATGATGGAAAATTCGTGAATGGTGTGGAAAGGGTTAATATGGCAACATTTGGGAGTGTCCCGCCCAGTTGGGTTTCTTTTGATCGGGTTGGACCGGAGAAAACCGGCTGTTTAAAAACCAAACAAAATGGCGGTTTAGTCATGTTATTTTAATATGTTCGAACACGTGTATAATGAGGAAAGCATCACAGAAAAATAATGAGTAGTGAAGGACATTTTTTTTCCTTAACACAATGCTTACTGGTTCAGTTTAAGACCTGTCAATCAATTTGCCATCTTTGATGTTGGTGAGACGTGATGACTGGTGAGTTTTAGTGTGATAAAGGACCGGATTTTGAGCCTGTAGCTTTACATTCAAGCGATCGCAATGCCTAAGTGGCCTAAATATAAGTTGCACGATAAAGAGTGGGAAACTCTCAAAATGTGAATTACGCCTGTCGTGGGAGAGGACACGAAATCAGAAATCAGAGCACAGTTGAATGAAACTGAATACGGGACTATACTATAGGACTATACTACTCCTGTCCAGCATCAGGATGTATTTTAAACCTTGACAGCTGCTGGACCTGATGGTTTTCACTGTGCCAAGTTCTGCATTCTGCTCCATGTACTTCAGGAAAGATGCACTGTAGTTTAGTCCGAAGTCAAAGTTATTGCGGTTCATTTTTCTGTTGTCGGATTATCGTACAGTAGGTCTATGCATCAATGAATGACACGTTTTTGGATATCATGGTGCGTGCATGAACGTGTGTGAAATGCCTGCTACTTACATCACGTTTTGTACTTAAATTGGCGTATTCTTACTGTTGCCATTGAAAATGATGCATGTGTTTTTCCGAGGGTTAAAGTCATGGTTTTTTTTTGGAGTGGGCGGGTTTTGGGGAGCTTTTGAGCTGATACTGTGGCAGAAATAGTCGAGTGTTTTTACATTATTCATCTCAGGGTTCGTACAACCTTTTGAGAGTTAAATTAAAGCACTTTTTTCAAAGCCTTTTCTTAATATTATCCAATTGAAATGTTATTTTTAATGTGATGACCAAAAATATACAAATTAGGTTTGTAGTTTGTACATGTTACTGCTGTTAATAAAAGTTCATTTTATCTGCATCTCAACTCGAGCTCGGCACTTGACTGTCAAATGTGCATTTCCAAGAGTTAAATGTAATATTATTAGTTACTGCATTTTTTTATGCAAAAAAAATTGCAGTTTTATGATTAAAAATCCCCCCACCCCACCAAATCAGGTGCTGGTGCCACCATCTGAGCTTAGGGTGTGTTCACTTCACACTTTTGTTTAGTTCGGACCAAAAAAATTATAATAATTAGCCGTGGTCCGCTTGGCGTTCACATTGGCATCTTTAACACCGGACCTAAAGGCATAGGGATATGTTCACAAGCTGATTGGTCGGCTTTTATTACGTATATTTCGCGACAGACCTTACTCAACATCTAAAACAATGCTGTGTTCTGGGATATATGCGCTGGTTGTATGTCCGTAGCTACATATTATGGTATTTCGACCAGCTGAGAACTCGTGAAGAGCTTATAAAATGTGTGAATGAGTCAAAACCGCGTCAGGAATCCCGTCACACACACCAAGATCTGCAGCGAGGAGACGCGGTTCTGACCCTGTACTGAACTGTGATGGGCAACATCACGACTATGAGGAGAAACAGGTATGCTTGAGCTTTCTGTCCTGTTTAGGGTCACATCTTGTGACATCATGTCCTGTTTTTGGTTCGTTTACATGACTTTGGTCCATGTTGCGTTCATATTTCACCAGAGTTCGTTTTAATCCAACCAAACCGGCCGAGTGTGAACACACCCCACCGGCACTCCTGCTCTTAAGTGTTAGTCTGGAGCCCTGAAAGACTTCCTCATGGCCGCATGGGTGGATTTATTTACTTGTGTTAATTAAAGAATGAATGTCGGTTACCGCATGGGTGTAGCAGTTGGCCGCGTGCTCGTAACATGTGGGCTGGTAACGGCAGTTTGCAGCCGCCCGGGTGTTCATAAACCTGAAACACAACAAACCGTTGCCTTTATTTTTCACAATGAATGGAGCGGAAAAAAACACACTGCATACTTCTGTGTTATTATCGGGAACTATAACTCTTATAAAGACATGCATGTTCATTATTTAAATCAAATTAATGTTAACCAAATAAAATATGTAAAAAACTTTGTTATACTTTAACAAAAAAAAAAAAAAGATTTTTTTTTTATGCCAAGTGATTTGAATATGATGGCAATAAAGATGCATAAACAGAGTGCTTCCATCTGATATACGTTTGGACCAGTGTTATTATTATCTTAAACTAAAACCAAGTCAAAGTACTAAAATTACTAAAACTGAAAATAAAAAAGAATACAATTAAAATAGACATTTAAAAAACAAAACAAATACAAACAGACAAAATACACAACAAAATTACTAAAAAATTTTACTTGAAAATGGAAAATATAAAAATAATAATAATAATTCGGGGAAAAAATAAATCAATAAATACTATATTAATGATACTAAAATAGCACTGGATAGGACACACCAGTATGACATTTTTTTTCCGGATGGACACAAATGGAAGAAAAGGAATATTTTTTTGTAGTGAGTGACCAAGGATGTTAAACTATTTGTCCAAAAAAAAAAGAAAAAAGTTTAAGATAATGACAAACATAAATGAATTCAAAATAATGAGTGATGTCTACATAATTAAAATCAAATGAAACTTAAATAATTAAATGCTTGTAAAGAGGGAAGAAAAACTCTTTTACACTGTCTGAGAAATATAGAAATAATGCACAGACACCAGCCTGTGAGTATTCCTGCCAGATCGCTCTCTACCGTTGATGTGTCCAGCAAACTCATAACCTGCAGAGTGACTTATACAGATGTGCAGTTTGTTTAAATGCTAAACTCCTCAACGGGTGCAGCAATGATGTCAAACATGGTGGCGTCTGATGCAGTGGTGCGTGCTCATTACACACACACACACACACACACACACACATCCGGATCCATACTGCATTCCCCTCCATCCCTACACCCATGCGGATGAATCCTGACACTGCTGATGTTTGGAGAGGAGATATCAGACCATGAACTGAGATAAACCCACCAGCACAAGTGAGTCTAGGAGTCGGTATTGAGTCAATAAATAGACATGCACTGATATCTGTGCAAAATCTGATCTCTGAACGGAGGGAGCGAAGTCAATACACATCTTTGGATCAGTCACAGGACAGGCTTTTAGATCAATGCATGTTCTGATCCATAAACATGATGCATCTACAAGAGAATAACACATCTATTTTATAAGGAGATCAGAACATGCAATGAAATGTATAAAGCACCATAGAAATAAAAGTGACTTGACTTGGTCTGATCTCTGATTAGAGACTATATAGTCAACAGAAACAGCTGGTCTGTAATGCATGCATTATCTGATCTCGAAACAGAAAGTTAATGCATTGAAATAAAGCATGATCAGACCACAAGATGATCTGATCTCTGCATTAAATAAATGAAGTCTGATCTCTGAATAGGGAATGCATGGTATAGAGTCAATAAAAGCACATGCTCTGCTATCTATGCATGAACTGGATAAATCAATAAAAGCATCATGTCAGGATGAGTCTGTATGTCAGTGCACTGTCTGATCTCAAAACAGCACAAATGCATGATTGAAGATGCACGACATATTCAGGTTTCTGAACAAACAGACACAATTAATGAGCAATAAACAAACAGAACACAATAACAGACAGATCATCAGATAATGCGTTGTAATAGTAATAGGACCCGTTAGCTGTCTGGCTAGCCTCCACACTCACCTCTGGAGACTATTCACCCTCTTCATCTCGCGAATACACAAATCAAAACCAGAGCTGAGATCAGTCAATGAACCGGGTTATGAAAATGAATCAGATGTCCGAGGCCTGCGGCAAAATCCCCATTCACAAAAAAAAATCAATCCCAGACCGAAACAAAACGCGTCCGTGCCACCATAACGGCTCAAACACACCCTAAATCATCCATAAGAGACCGTTTGTCACATCATTCCGTCTTGTGCCGGATCCCTCTCTCTCTTTCTCAGGCTTTATCCCTCTTTCTGTGACTATCAAAAGCCGGAGACGGAGTTGTACATTTTAACCTTTTTTTTTTCTCGACAGAAATGATTGACGGGGACTTCAGCCAATGGGAGCGCGGTTGGAGTGAGGCGGTTGATGAGTTCGACCAATCATCGGCGGGAATGATATCGCTTTGTTTGACGCAACAAAGGAGGGCGGGGCGTGTGGTGGCGAGCGAGAGTAGCCATACCTGTTTGAATCACGACCTGTGTTCAAAAGTGACATTGAATAGAAACATGACGATTCTCTTTTGTCATTCAATTGTAATTTAAAACGATAGTTAGGGGCTCAAGCACGAAGTGCTGAAAACCTATTGTATTTGTATTGATTTTTATTATTATTATTATTAAGTGTAACTGTAATTTAAACATAATGTGGTGAGCATCAAAAACTGCAAAAAAAATGTTTTCCTTATTTCTGACACAAATGTCATCTACCATTTTTTCCCTTCTTTTTCTCTGTATGGCCACATGTTCTTGTTCATTGTTCTGTATATTATCTATTTTTTGTACTGAATTACAATTATGCAATAAAAGTGCTCTACCATGTTTTTGGACAAGCATGCCCCTTCTTTAAAGTCCACCGTAGTCAATAATTGTATCCCTTAAAACTCATCTTTGATCACCAAAATGACATATTGAAACGTTTTTTCCTTGAAAAAAGTCATGCCTTAAAATAGCTTGAATGTAACTCCACAACCTTGCATCATTTAGTATACGCGGCTCTATGAATATGCAAATGAGCCCCGCCTCCACTCACTCACTCAGCTCAGAGATCCACTGGTTGACGATCACACGTTGATCTGATTGGTTACAAGGTAGTTTGTGACGTCAGAAACACCAGCGATTTCAAACCGTGTTTTTGAGACTGTCTTTGGTTCACTGCAGTTTTAAGGAGAAAATACTCAGCAATGCTGTCGACTTATGAATTTACACTTTGTCTTAAAGCATATTAAAAACACCACATAGACATATAAACGCAACATTAAAAGCTGGATTTTCATCACAGGGGGACTTTAAAATACTGAGTAGTATAAATAAGTAGCCTAAATACCATGGTATAATATGCATGTAATCACTAGTGTTATCAAATTAGTAGGCAAAAGGCCCACTTCAGTTCAGTTCCTGTGGTGTTACCATGTGAAACCACGGCACTGCAACTTCCTTTTTAAAAGCGTAAACCTCTGAGCATCTGATATTTCATTAAAAACACATGATCGAAATGCTTTTTTTCTCTGATTTTGGAAACTCGATCGACTTAAAATGCTTCCAAGATCGACGGGTTGGTGATTCTTGTAACATACTGTTTTACGGTCAATGACAAGAGTACTAATCAGCTGTCTCACGAACTTAACCAGCACATTTATCCCCACATAGCAAAGCCATAACACAGCGAGGGAGAAGAATTAAGTTAGATGAAACAATCCAACTACATATTTACACCACTGACAAGGGAAAAGTCACTACTCACGGTGTTTATGACTAGCTTCTTCTAGCTTTCTGCTGCTTCTCTTTCAAGGTAGTGACGAAACGCACTCTGTAACGCTGTCTGTTCGCTGTCGGCTACTGTAGAAACATGACGTCACAATATGGCGACCTTCATAGAAGGGGATTCCCGCGCCTATAAATGCCTCATTCTAAGGTAATAAAAACATTACTGTTTATTAAGTAAGTTCTTTATACACCACTGAACACATAGTTATGGATGTCATATTGCATTTCTGTTAATAAATGTTACACACTGCACCTTTAAGGACTGTTCGCTGAAGGTGTATTTGCGGAACCAAAAATAGTTATTCTATTCTATTTCTGTGAAAACCCCCTTTGGTAACCTTTATTTTAAAGAGTGAAGTTGTGTAAGTGTGCACTTATGTACTTGTGCTCCTGTCTTGTAGCTGAATTTCCCCTTAGGGGTGAACCAATTTTTTTTTGTTCATGAAAAAATCCTTACACACATTTTGCAACTAACGCTGGAGGCGAACATGCAGCCGTGGCTCAGGGATTCGTGACCAGAAGCAACATTACATAAACCAGCAGCAACGCCATTAGATGTCACTGAACATTTATTTAAGGCTGTTAACTGAATTAAGAAGAAGTCAGAGTTCGTGTTTTCCAGGAAAAACATCTAAACATACTTCATGCTCACCAAGGCTGCATTTATTTAACCAAAAATTGATCATGTGACACTGAAGACTGGAGTAATGATGCTGAATATTCAGCTTTGATCACAGGAACAAAATGACAGTTTATTCAGATAAAAAAACAGTTATTTTAAATTGTAGCACATATTTTGACTGTGTTTTTGATACTGATACAGACAGGATTTATCCGTCTGACTGCAGGTCTCACCGTCTCAGACTCGAAATGTTCGCCAGGTCACCAGATTATGCACAAAGCTCCTAATGGGATGATAGTGAGACTAAAAGCTGCATGTATTTCAGCATGTTACAAAAAAAAAAGAGAAGCAGTCATGGTATTAGATGACAGTTTGATATTAATTTGATGTGCACTTTGAACAGCAACCGAAAGACCTGTGATTTTTATTTGCAGTGTAAGAAGTTTAAACTGCACCACCATAGTAAATACTAAAGAAAATAGAAAATGAGTGAGTGAGTTCACGTAGTGTAACAGCGCAGCGCTTCTGTGTTGTACGTCAGAACGTAGGCTCACTATTGGCCGACGCTAGTGTGATGCGTGTGATGCTGGCCAATAGTGAGCTTACGTTCTGACGTACAACCCAGAAGCGTTGCGCTGTTACACTACGTGAACTCACTCGAGGCCAACACAGAAGAAAACAAATTGAATAAAGTCGTTATTTTTGTGGGGGGTTTTTGCGCACAAAAAGTATTCTCGTCGCTTGAGAAACTTAAGATTGAGCCACTGTAGTCACTCGGACTATTTTACTTACTATTTTTTACTAACTTTTCTGGGCCGGCAAGTTTCAATCCCTTAAGAAGCCTATGGAGGAGTGATCCAGCTCTCAGATTTAATCAAAAATATATCTTAATTTGTGTTCCGAAGATGAACGAAAGTCTTACGGGGTTGAACAACATGAGGGAGAGTAATTACTGACAGAATTTTCATTTTTGGGTGAACTAACCCTTTAATCTCTCAAGATAAATCCCTACATACAAAGAAACAGCGGCAGAGGCCTTTATAACCACAGGCGTTCATGGAAATTTCAATCATTTGAACCCGCTGCACCGGCTCTTAATGCTATAGAAACAGCCCAGTTCAGCTGGTAGAGGAAGTAGAGACGGCTAAATTAACCGGGGGATTTACACTAAGACACTAACAGGAAGGCTGATCCTTCCCTTCCTCCTCATAATCTTTCATGACGTATTTCTCTACCATCAAATCTTCTGATCCTATCTGGTAACATTAATGTATGCCGTACAGTGGACGTGGTGCTCAACAGATAACTCTATTTGGATCTGCAAATGGAATGTTTAAAAAAAAAACATTCTAGACCACATTTAAAATAAATGCATCAGCAACAGAACATCGATTTCAAATGTTCACTGTGGAACTCAGAACTCTACATCGGAATACTGATTGGCACACACCCGAAAACACGTTTCTGAATTATGTCATTTACTTTTATCCTATATTATATAGTGGATAGATATCCATGTGAAGTTGATAAGGAGCTGCTTTATCAAGTTTTGGATGTGTTCATCTGCCAGAAACCGCACATTCCTGCCAATCGAAATTAAGGTCAGCTAGATTTATCACACCTCACCTTTTCAGTTTATCTACAGAGCAACATTCAAGTTAATTTGATTAGTGTTTGGCACCGTATGTATTTGTTTCTCCTTTCACGATCACTTTAGACTAGTGACCTGTAATGCCAGATCTTTTGGTGGCTTGGCTTGGTCTGACGTTGGTCCAGAAGGATTTTAGGTCGTTAGAAAAAGTGCAATGGCAGGACCACGGTTGCACACACAATGTGGTTTAGCCAAGTAGGACGTGTTCCTGGATTAACATCATTTGGTGGCCCTGGAATAATAATTAAATAAATCATATTTTGTGGTACTTTGATGAAGGATTATTGTCAGGATTATGTGTTTTTTTGTGTTCGGTTCTGCCATTATCAGTTGTCCTCATTTCCATTTCTGACCTGGTTTCATTCTGCTCACCTGTTTTTTTAATTAATTAACTCATTAGATCCCTCATTTAGGGTATGTTTACACGACAACGATATGCTTAAAATGGAGACGTTTTTCCTTTTCCGCGTACAGATGACACATTAATGTCATTGTTAAAACGATCCCCATTTACACGGATTCGCGAAAACGACTAAAAACACTGTATTCTACTGCCAGGCCACTAGATGGCGATGAAACACTATAAACTGAACACGTAATACTTTGCCCTTTGAAAACCGTTTTCAAAAGTTTGCGTTTTCACGCACCCAAAACACATACAAAGTTTTACGTTTTTAGTTGGAAGCGGTGTCGTGTAAACAGCCGCTTAGTCTGGCTATAGCCTGTGTTTTCAAGTTCTTTGTCCGATCTCGTCTGTGTTTAGTAGTTGTGTTTTCCACATTTATCTCCTGATGTTCCTTGTGGATCTACAAAATAAAGAGTATTTGTTTGATTCTTTATCGTTGTCTGCTCATTACAGCCACCGTATTGTATGATCACCATATTTACTGTAGCCTGTACCATAGCACTGTGAACACCTCATATATATACACTCACCGGCCACTTTATTAGGTACCCCATGCTAGTAACGGGTTGGACCCCCTTTTGCCTTCAGAACTGCCTCAATTCTTCGTGGCATAGATTCAACAAGGTGCTGGAAGCATTCCTCAGGGAGTTTGGTCCATATTGACATGATGGCATCACACAGTTGCCGCAGATTTGTCGGCTGCACATCCATGATGCGAATCTCCCGTTCCACCACATCCCAAAGATGCTCTATTGGGTTGAGATCTGGTGACTGTGGAGGCCATTTTAGTACAGTGAACTCATTGTCATGTTCAAGAAACCAATTTGAAATGATTAGAGCTTTGTGACATGGTGGAAGTAGCCAT